GCCCCCCCCCCCCTCTGCCGGGTCCAGCGGCGGTGCCCCGGCCCCCATGCCCACAACGCCCCCCCCGGCCTCCGCCACCCAGAAGCAGGAGTCGGGGGCCCGCAGGTAGCTGGCGGGGATGTCGCGGAGGTCGGTGCTCAGCGCCTGCTGCACGTAGGAGGTGCTGAAGGAGCGGACCAGGAACCAGGCGGCCACCAGCGCCAGCGTCACGGCCCCCAGCCCCAGCACCCAGTAGCCGGCAGCCGCCCGCACCGCCACGAAGAGGACCAGCAGCGCCAGCTTCGCCCGCGCTGAGCGCAGGACGTGGCGGTAGCCGGCCAGCGTGTGCTCCAAGATGCCGCGGGCGAAGAGGGTCCGCACAGCGTCGTAGTCCTGGTCCCGGTACTGCCGGATGCGGTAGGACGCCATGGGCTGCCAGCACCTGCGACGCGGCACGGGGCTGTCAGGGCAGTGCCTGCCTCGGATGGGGACCCCCGGAGCATCCCCAGACCCCATCGCCGGGACGGCACAGCCGGCGAATGGGCGGGAGTCACTGCCCGAGCACCGCGCAGCCGCGTTAGCCGCCACCGGCTGGGCACCAGCCTGCGCTCTGCATCGCCCCGCCGGCACAATTGCCCTCTTCTCACAAAAAATCACCGTCACCAGCCTTGCCTGGGGTGGGCATCGGGGAGCGCCGGCCCCCAGGCCCTGGCGGGGTTCCTGCCCCAATCCTCCCCCCCCGGGATCCCATGAACCCCTCGGTGCCGTGGCAGGAGAGGGCAAAGGGAGATGGCAGGGGGTGACGGGCACAGAGACCCCCGGGGGCTGCTCGGGCCATGCCGCGGGCTTGTGCCCCTGCCCCGGGGAAGGGGTTGGGGGCCCCAGGCTGCTGGAAACCCTGCACCAGCCACGTTACCGGGGCCTAAGGGGGAGCGTGGCCTCAGCCCCCCCATCCCGGGGTCCCGGCACCCTGCACCCCCCCCGCCGCTGCTACCGGCTCTGCCGCTCCGCAAACCGGGGACCGCAGCTGTGCAGGTCCGCTGGCAAAGAGGGGGGGTCCCTTGCCAGACCCCCAGGGTCCGGCAACCCGCCGTGCACGGTGGGGGGGGCCTTTGCTTCCCGCAGCCCCGGCGCTGGCCTGTGCCTGCAGCTCCCCCCGCTGCCGCAGAAAGATGCCGGCTCCGTTCAGCCCATCGTTCTGCAACCCTCGGTGGTCTCACCCGTCTCGGGGGGAAGCACCGGTGACGGCACCGGGCTGTACCCCCGGCTTGGCCCTTACCCAGGTTGACGGTAGCTCCGGAGACGCGGCAAGCGCAGGCGCCGAAGGGGAAGTGCCACCCCCGCCGATGGCCCACCCCTGCCATAAACCCTGCCGAGGTTATGGGGTCACGCTCAGCCTCCGCTGGGGGGATGAGGGGGGGGCTGCTTCTGCCAAACGGAGATGCTTCAGCACCAGACCCCCACCGTGGCATGTTTAACCCCTTTGCTGCAGCCCCCTCCACCCCGAGCTCCCCTTTGGAGGGGGCGGTGGGCTGAGCCCCACTGGGGACTTTGGACCCCACCGCAGGCAGCGGCGGTGCCCGGTGCGGCCAGGCTCCCTGCCAGGAGGCTGGGGCTCGTTTTATGACCGCGTCACCTTTCATCCCTTGAGCGAAGGCCACCGGGGTCCAAGGCGGGGGCACAAGGAGCCCTTGGGGACAGCCAGCCCGCAGGAGCGGGTGTCCTCACCCCACGGGACCGGCTGGCAACCGGCTGACCACCGTCCCCCACCCAGGGGTGCCCACTGGCACGGGGGTCTGGGGGAAACGCGGGAGGGTCGTCGCCGTGGCCTTACAGTGACGCCCGTGGGTCCGGGTGGGTACTGTGCATACCAGCCCCTTCCCACGGGTATGCCGCGGGGGTCCTTGGGGTGCCGGGGACCCCCATCATCCCACCGGGGTGGCCCTGTGCTAGCGGGGGAAGAACGACCCAGCCCAGCGCTGCGGATGGTCCTTTATTTCTTTGCCCCGTACGGGGCCAGCACCCGACCCGCAGGCACCGTGGAGCAGCCAGAGGGGGACACAGCTGGGGGTCTCCCTCGGGCGGCCACGTACCCCCCAGGGCACAGGGAGGCATCAGGGCCAGGCAGGGCACAGCCTCCCCCCGGCAAGCCGAACCCCGGCGGGGTGGGGGCGGCTGCCCCGGCCCCTCCTCTGCACCCCACAGCCCCCCGCTGCGTGGGGCACGGGGGTCCCTACCCCCCGCGCCGGCGTGCACCACACTCCCTGAGAAGCAACACCCGCACGGCTGCGCGGCAAGGGACGAGCCGGGGGGACCCAGCGCCCCGCGGCAGCGCCATGTCCGGCAGGCACGGTCAAGAGCAGCAGCCCGCAGCACAGCCGGCACGGCGGGGCTCCGGGCACGGGCTCCCCCGGTGCCCCTCGGCCCCCACGCCTGGCCGTGCCGGTGCCGCGATGCCCACCCTCCCCGGGGCCGCGGCAGGGCTCAGGGCGTGCCGGACAGGTCGTAGCGGTAGGTGGTGACGGTGCAGTTGGCCAGGCGGCCGTAGGCGGTGGGCAGGACGTAGCGGTGGTGCTGGCGGAAGCCCAGGCGCTCGTAAAGGGCGCGAGCCTCGTGCTGCAGCATCAACGTGTTGAGAACCACGGCCCGGCAGCCACGCTGCCGCGCGAAGGCCAGCGCGGTGCGGCCCAGCGCCGTGGCGATGCCCAAGCCCCGGTAGTCCTTCCGCACCGACATCCTCTTCAGCACCAGCTCCCCGTCGGTGGCGCCGCCGCCGCCGTTGTCGACCGGCCGCACGCCCACCGTGCCCACCCCCCGCTCG